ACCTACTGCCCGACCTGTTGGGGATATGGATAAGGACAGGCCACTGGTTCAAGTTAAGCTTGAGGCCCCATCAGACTTACCGATGGATGGTAATGCCTACAATGCCATTAATTCCAGGCATCCTCAAATGCAGCTCAGGCAGCAGCAACTGGCTGCACTGTCAAATTTCCATTCCCAATCTAGCAATCAGTTCAGACAAATGGGTTCCCCGCAGATTCCCGCAATGCAGTCACCGTAAGAAAACTTGTGTAGATGTGCTCAAAGATTTCTTCCATTTGGATAATATTTGACTCATGTTAATGCTAAGACTTATGTTGCTGTACCATTTGCTTGTAGGAACATGACCATAGTTAGAGCTCCACCAGTGAAGGTGGAAGCCTTCCAGGAGTTAATGGGAGGGGATTCTTCTTCAAAGCATGATTCAGAGGAAAGCAGACTGACTTCACCCAGTGGCAAATAGCTTGCATTATATTTAGTTGATCTATGTGACCAAATCCGTGGAGGCCCTCAAGTTGGGTTTTCTTTCCTGCTTATGTTTTCGGCCTGGCTTACTATAGCTTTTGCATCAGTTCATTTTGATTTTGTATATCATCCCGCAATGTATTAGTCAGTATGTTGAGATTTTGTTACTTCAGGTATTTCTCCTGTAACATCTACAAATTCTCTATCAGGTTGCCCTGTAATTATTTCAACTTGAGTGTAATACTGCTTTTCTTCGCTGTTGCCCTACATTTTCGCTTCACGTATGCCATGTAATTATTAATTTTTCAAGATAACGGCCGGAGAGTCATCGCTGTTGGCCAAGGCTATACGACCACCTATCATTAAAAATTTGTAAGCATGCACATCTATTATGACACGTGATGCATGTGAATCATGGATAAGATATGTATGATACCGTTTTAAGAGACGAAGTTGTGTGTACGCACATCTGCTACGAATTCTTGATGAAAGCATGAGCCATGCTCCCATAATAGTTGGAGGAGTGAGATGACGAATCTAGTATTTTAATACAGTGTTCATGTATAAAAATAAAACATGAATACTTAAAAAAAATGTAAATTGTTCATGCATGAAATGGGTCATATCAATGGTCATGCTAATATTGCACCAATGACGACTGGATCTTGGCATCAACCATGGTTCATATTGCTAGTGAAGGTGGCATTTAGTAATGTTACCTGCTTGTTTATCATATAACTAGACAGAAATTAATCATTTGTATTGAGTAGATACAAGTAACCCTCATGAATGTAACATAAATATGTATTTTTGCAATAATTTTGATAAACAGTACTGGTGAAAATAAATAAAAGAGACAATAGTAATACTATTGACCTTTTTTCAGTTTCAAGGTCAGAGTCTCAAGACCAATACTCTAATCCTTCTAACTATCTAAAAATTGAGTTTGGCTGCGTATATGAATAATAAGAATTCATTTAGATCACCAGCTTCTACACTAGTACATAAATTCACCCTAAGTTCACTTTGTGAGCTATTATACAATAGAAATGTTGATCTTATGTACTAACTTTAGAAAAATTAAATCTATTATAAAACTATATAATTCTAAATTAAATAGAATCTGGCTTAAAACTTGCAATGTCTATATCATACCATTAAACTTCCAAGTTGAGATAACACCTATAGAACTAGGTAATGCTATTACATCATCAGAGTCCAAAATAATAACAACAAAAATAAACCTTTCTTATGTTTGGTTTCTAAGTTGCAAGGTCATTTAAGAACCCTACCATCCTTATATTGTCATCAAGTTTAAGTTTGATAAGACCTCACTATATTGTCCAGTAACCGCCCAAATTTCATTTTTATAATCCCTCTTTCTAGCCACTCAATGTACCACTCTCGTATACAAGTCACCTTGCCTAACTTTTATGTACTGAAATTAATGTTTAAATTTATCTCAATTCCTTACCAATTACATGAAAATCATCTTTATATACCTCAAACCACCTTCAATTTAGCAAAACAACAGAACAATTATGGGCCCACACGCACCATAAACAAATTCATAATAATAGTTTATGTATGGCTTCTATATCCATGACTAACACAGAAATTAAATCAGGAAAAGAAACATCTAAAGGAAAAATAGCACCACAAAAGAGCAAAACAGAATTTGCACAACATATGTGTGCAACCGTTTTCCACCACAATTTTGACGCAAGAAGAATCAGAAGTTGATTTGGTTAAAAGCTTATATGACCATTCTGCAGAAGATGAAATCCTTCAAATTCCCAAATCAATTTGCAACATGACAGACAAGTTGACATGGTCTGCTGGAAATCATGGAACCTATACTGTCAAAGAAGGTTTTGAGTTATTCCACAAGAACCAAATGAACCTCTCTGTTCCAACACCAAGGATTTGGGATTTATTTTGTTTTTTTTTTTTTTGAAAATCAAATTACCTTTTAAGCAACTACTTTTAAATTTGGAAATTGATTCACTCTGCCATTCCAACAGGTGATATTCTTTTGTCAAACACAATCTCAACATCACATCTTTATATGTATTCGGATGTTAGGAAAAGGAATCACTTGACCATCTTTTTGGCTCATGCCCTTGCCCTTCACAAGTAATCCAGGAATTTCAAGGTGTTCAAACTTATTCATTTCAGGTTTACCAATGGTCTCTTCCATTGAACCGTGTTTCCAGCAACAAGGCCTCGAAAAATTATGCCGAACATGTTGCACTCCATACTCCTCAACGACAAGCACCATCTTAACGGACAACTTCCATGAAAAAAAAAAAAAACTGGTAAATTTTTCCTTGCATCCATTTCCTATAAGGGTGAACTGAAAGTTATCAGATGAAACTATTCAAAAAGTATTGATCCCCATCTATTTGTTCCTGAATGCTTACAGTTAATGTTGTGGTGGACCATGATCAACCACATTCAGATGTTTGTATCAATATTTATCACAAAAGGCACTATCTCTGCAACCTTCCCTAAACTCCCCAGTCTTTTGGTGTTATTGCTTATGATGTTTCAAAGCTTTCTCAACAGAATTTCTATCCCCACCCGCACACCAACTTTTAGTTTTATAGAACTGTTACTCTGTAACGTATCCTTTTTTTCTTGATTAATATATTGTTCCTCTTATGAAGAAAGAAAAACAAAGTTTATAATCAAACTCTCAGCTCCATACAATATTTAAACACTCAAATTCCTTCACTTCCTTGCCAACATCGAAAAGAAGAAAAATGCACAGACTTGCAAAATCCTCATAAAGCCTAAATCAAATATCCAATCGTTGGAATGTTAAAGAAAAGTGAGACAGTAGAATTTTCTAATACATACCTAAGGAGTTATTTTTCATGCCATGAAAAAAGAAGAAAAGAGAAATCATGGAATGGTCTTCATCTCCACCTCTGGTGGTTCGGTTCGATTTTTCCAGCGTTGGCAATGGGAGAGGCAATGAATTCTAGTTATTAAAAGGGAATGGGATAAGTTAATGGGATATATTTACGTTAACAGACCCAAAAGTTATTAGTTTATTCAAAATTTATTTCAATTGATGATTTAATTAAAGGATATACATTTACACACATAAATTAGCTAATTAAATTTTTTCTCGCCTATAATTATTTTTTTTATTTCCTTAATTACATAGCTTATTTAAGATGAATGTCTCATACAAGATCCAAATACAATAATAATTCCCAGCGTCTTGCATGTGCGTGCTGACTGCTGAATGATTTGCGGAGTTTTGCAAACCTAAGCACGCTGCTTCCCAAATTGAAATGATTTCGATCCCATTATATCCCAGCAGATTCACTAACCTCTGGGTGTTTTGCATGCCTTATCAATGTAGAATCTTGCTTGTCCAAGCTCTTAATCTTACTACTTTCAATTCATTCTTTAATTAATTATTGATGCTGTTCTTCTATCTTGTTCCTCCAACACTGCAAAACTAATTTTAACTTCTAAATCCATTGATATGAACCGACATTGCCCTGCCAACGGAAATCAGAGTGGCGTCATGGGCCTCCTCCATCCATGCAGCCGTCTTTCTCAATTCTCTGACACACTATCTTCTTATCCCTCCCAAACTTGATCCTCGTGGAATCATATTTCTTCATTTATAAAGCTCCAATTACATTTAGACTCCCATAACATAGCTAGATGCGGCGAGCTTGACTGTAGCAAATTATAAAAATGGGAAGCAAAACTTGAAAATAGAGGAGAGAGAAAATACTAAATCTTAACTTAAAATATATTCAAGACTCATGTATCTATGTTCTACTTTATTTTATATATATATATAGTCAAATTTTATTTAATGTGCACATTTTGTCATCAATTCAAATACACTCATTTGGATATACCTTGACAATCCTCCTTAAATGTAAGTCAATAAAATTTCTTATTTTTTATCTTGATATTAATGATGTTAGTAGGAAGGAATAATTTATAAAACTGATAAAGATATTTAATTATATTCTAACATATTTCAATGTAATTCTGCCGTTCATACAGTTTACCAGATTCATAGTACGGGAATGTGTTTTGAATTTGATCACTTTGTAAACCGTACTTTTTTACGGTAATTATAAACCAAAAAAACAAAATCGTGCCGCTTTGGCCGGGAAGAAGACGTGTCAAATCCATACAATGAACTAGTCAATACAATATTGATTTAATTATCAGCTCTTATTCTCGCTTCCCACATATTAAATGATTCACCAATAGCAATGGTACTATTCCCTTTAAAGTGTTTTTTAAAAATTTATTTTATTTTAAATATAAAGAATGACAATAATTTTTTTAAATAGTTAGATAATTTTTTTTAAAAAATAAAATAAATTATTAAATATATATTTTTTCTATCACCATCATAATATTAATTATAATATTATTAGAAATAAAATTAAAAAAATATTATACTTTTATATAAGTTTAACTAAATAATGAAATTTTATTGATATATAAAATTTAATTTAAAATATTTTATACACAGAGACAAAAGGAGTATATTAATGCAACTTAATCAGTTCCATCTTCACGCCGTTTACAAACAAGTCCTTCGTCTCTTTTACCTTTTCCCTGAAGATCCTTCCCTCTTCTTCCACCATAACCAGCCTCACCGACTCAGCCACATAGTCTCTCCTAAACCATCCGTCTCTCTCATCCCCCGGTATCCAATATCCCATGTTCTCCTCCTCCAACACTCTCGCGTTCAATACTTGATCTGCCAAAAAACATCAGAAGCACTAGCGGCTTCTCGTTCTGAATCTCCTCCACCACCGACGTCCAACTAGAATGGGTCAAGAAACCACCCACCGACTCGTGGCCCAATATCTTCAGCTGCGGAGCCCAACCGGTGCACACCACGCCACGACCTCGCACCCGATCCTCGAACCCTTCTGGCGGCAGCAAAACCTAAGGGTCGTTTGGCAGACATTGAGTCCTCAGGATCCAGAAAAATGGAAGCTCCGACTTCTCTAAACCTAGAGCTATCTCCCTCACTTCTTCTTGGCTCGGCTTCGCTTCGCACCCGAATGCCAAGTACACCACCGTGCCTCTGCTCTGCTTGTCCAGCCATTCTCTCATCCACTGCCACGTATGGTTTTCGTTACCGTCATCGCAGGCCGTGCTGGGAAGTTGGCCAACGAGTAGAACTGGTTTCTGGTAAAGGTTCTTGAGGAGTTGAATCCATTCGTATTCAAATTCGGAGCAACCTCTGATCATTACTATGTCGGAGTTTTGGGCAGACTCACCGATCCGGTATACATCTGAAGCGTCCGTGTTCTGGAAGGAGGAACTGTGAGAGAATATCCTCATGACCTCTTAGTGACGATACGCTACGATGGTGGGAAATGGGACCCTTGGCGGAGGAACAGTGAAGCCTTCGGGGCTTTTCCTGATAGGGGGTCGGAACTCATCAAATCGAAAGGAGGTCCCAGGAAACCCAAACCGGGGACGGAAATATGGAGAAGAAAGCAGACTTGATGCCCAGTTTGGAAGCAATGGATCCCACCCAGTAGGGAGCGAAGTCGTGAAAGATCCAATCCGAAGAGGAAGATTCAAAAAACTGGCTCATGGGTTGTCGAAGGCCGTCGTAGGATTTTTTGAGAAACGGCACGACGTCGTACGGGATATTGGTGGTCGCCTCGGCATGATCAGGAAGGCCATGGACTTTGGGTAAGGGAAGGCTGACGAATTTGATAAGAGGAGCCAAGTGAGGAGGTAGTTTTAGGAGGCGATCGATGTTTCTTTGAGTAGACAGGGAGCTCACAAAGTGACCCTTCTCAGCTATGAGCTTTGCGAGCTTCAGGTTGGGGATGAGATGACCAATGGCCAGCCATGGGAACATGACTACGTGAAGCTTGTCTTCTCCTGCTATGGCTAAACCAGGCCAGCTTGTCACTATTTACAAGACAATTCCATATATATGTATATATGGGAGGGATATTCGTCATGTATACCGAATTATTTAATGGAAATAATGTTTTTTTTATTATTTCCATTAAATAATTCTTTTTATATGTATGCATGTATGTATACATTGGAGGGATATACTTCAAAACATATGTTTCCATTAAATGGGAGATAATTCATATAAGTGGGAGAAAATCATATAATAAAAAAGAAATCACATTATTTCCATTAAATAATTCGCTTTATATGGATGTATTCTTTTTTATATAAATTGACTTGTTTTTGGCCAAAAAAGACATGTTACTTAAATTTATATAAAAAAAATTCATACATATAAAAATAACTATTTAATGGAAATAATAAAAAAGAAGTCTCACATTATTTCCATTAAATAATTCGGCATACATACATTTGTGTGGACCGTAGCTCCTGGGACAGTGCCATTGCCCCTTAATGCACATAAATGATCTTAATATTAAAGAACTAGTTTTAATCCCCCGATAAGTCACATATATTTGCCAACTGTCTCCACATAATAAGATTTTTAGATCCATCACTGGCTGGATGTGTCTGAAAAAGGAGGGAATCGGTATCAACGGTGAAGCCGAGGGCCTTTAGATGTTTGGGGCATTTTATTTTTTCATATGTTATCAATAAAATATTTTTATGATTTATTATTTAAATGAATTATTTTATTTTTATATTAAGTTTCATAAAATTAATTCACTATTAATGTTTTTATTTTCTCTTGAAAATTTATAAATACATTCAAATTTAAGTACAAAAAGTTCATATTGTTTTCATATTAACAATTCAATGCCACACAGTGAATAATAACTCAAAAGGGAAAATTTAGTACCACCGATAATTGAGTTGAATAAATTTATTCATGGACATATGTGCTTATAAAATTTAGGTAATTTGCCCGCCCTCGAGATGCTGTAGGTAATAAATACATTTGAGAGATAATTTTGCAGCATGTGCGGGGCATTAACGAGATATGGAAATTTGAGAGCAAGTGTTAAAGGGACCATTGGGATCACAGTCTAATGAAGCAGACAAAATTTAATTTTTTTGATAAAATATTGACAGAAAAATTCAAAATTCAAATTAAATTAAATTTCTTCCTAGCCATCACTGAAGTTATTGGTATCATTAAGGCTTTAACTTATGACAGGAAATTAATCTACTTACCAGGAATGATGTGAGTTACTCCCCGTTTAGATTAGGGATAGTTTGTTATTTTTAGCTTCAAAATTAATTGCACATAAAGCCTTTAGGTTTGCACAGCAATTTCATAATTTATTGAGCCTTACAAGAAATTATTTGTCTTCCGTGAGCCTTCTATGTCATTTTCCTTACTTTGAAATGGTTTCTTTTAAAAAGCACACCTTATAATTAATTGATTATGTTATTTTATTTGGACTGTATTGTGCCTTCTAACTTGATTGTTAGAGACATTGGTCAAGCTTCCAACCAAGGATGAATTCAGAAATCATTATATGAGGAACCATAATTAAAATTTTATCTAACTGCAGAGTGCTAACATTGATTTCTACATGTTTTGTAAATGAAAATTATACATATTATAAAAAAAAAATTGAAGTATGGGGCCACAGTCCCCTCATGCCCCACTAAATTCTGATTGTTTCCAAATCTGAGACCTAATTTTAATTTTCCATTTGGCGCGTTTAAGAGTTGGTCTAGAATGTCCAATTAGCTGATTCTGTAAACTAATCATTACACGATCTATCTATCTATCTAGAGCTCCAAATTAAATCTTATGAGATATATAAAAAGATGTTGTGACTTGACTTAATTTTGTGCAAGTATATATAATAAAAATTCCATTACTTAAAGATACGTATATTTGGTCCCGAAATATTTCAAGTAATTCAACGAATCTTCTCGAAATAGAATATCAGAGAGAAGTGTTTGATTTTTTTTTTTAAAATATTCTTACCCGTAAAATTCCATCCGGTATCCTTCATGTCAATAAGGTATTCGCCTTGCTATTCGTTTTTATATTTATATTTTTATAATTATATAATTGATAATTTCATGTATCAAATAAAGCATAATTGAGTGGAGAGCTTGTAGTTCAAATAGCATCCCGTTATCCCTGAAAGGATGAGCTTGTAGGATATATCCTCATTTTGTGTGTGCGTGTGTGTGGGGAGATATATTTTTAGTAATCATATATCAATAAGTGATTTTGATAAATAAAATTTAAACAGAACTAACATTTTTATAATCAATTACAAAAAAGTTTGTGTACCGTTTCGGTCACTTTCAAAAATCCAAATGATCTATACTATGTTTGGTAGGCTGAATATGTGCTGGGCTCGGCCTGAAGGTATTTTGCCCATCTCGAAGGACTGTCTAAATGTTTTTGGGCTTGCCCAAAGCTCGGGTCAGGCAAGATTTGGGACTAGTTTTCCCAACCATGCTCCCCAGCCTAGCGGAAGGTGAATTGTCTTTTTTTTTTAATGATTTTATATCTAAATGACGTCGTTTTAACTATAGGAGGGAGGGTCAAGTTTGATGAGGGAACCAAACCTAGTCACATACGCTCAGTTTAGTCACTCACTCCATTCCTTGCCTTTGCTTCGCCTTTGCCTTCACCGTCCTCAACCCTTCAATCTTCATCTTCGAATTCCCTTCTTTGTGTTCGCATTCATGTCTGCTAGTTCTGAAACAAAGTTTGCTGTCTTCATCTTCGAGGTCACGTGCTTGTGTTTCGTGTCCTTGTTTTCTCTTCACCGCTACTCTCAAGATGTTCGACTTCACCTGTGCTGTTTTTATTTTTTTTTATTTTGTTGATTTTTTTGCTGATTTCATGACTTCAACGAACTTAGATGCCATGTCTGCTATTCGAGTTCAAGTCTGTTATGATGTATTTGATTATGATTTGGACTTGTACCCGCCCAAGGTTGTTGCAATTTTTGATCTGGCTCTAATGAATATGGTTAGTATAATCAATCCCTTGATCGAGAAGCAATAAGCACATTCAAACTCGAATTTTTAATCTAAAAATCTCGACTTGAATGAGAAATTTGAATCCATCTACTGAGTTTGGTTTATAGTTATTTTAAATGATTTCCAGCTTTGATGAATTTGACTACCAACTGCATAAATTACTCTATTTTTATTTTTTAATTTTGTTTTGCCAACAATCTTGTAATTGTTGTATTAATTTTATGTTTAGGAGTTTGAAATGAAGGTCTCATTAGGCGAAAAAATTTACTTATATTAAAAATTTATTATTGTTTTTATTGTAATTAATTGTTATAATTTTAGATCTCTTTCATTCATTCTAGAAAAAATCATTTTAAGGGCTAAACTAAGGCATTTTTTGGGCATAGATGGGTATCAGATTCAACCATTGTATGAAAAATTGGACTGAACTGGCTGGGTCAACCCATGAACCAATGACCCGACCTCTCCACCGATTCAATTTTCATCCTAACCCAGTCAACGAGTGACCCAATATGACCTGGCCAACTCGATAGGTTAGTTAGGTCAACTAGGTCACCTATTTTGCCCTTCAAAATCTCCAACATATTACTTGGGGTTTCTTTAAAAAAGGAAAAATTAAAAAAGTAAAAAAGCAAAAAGGCTTCACTAATTTTGTTTTTGAATTCTAAAATCAATCAATCGAACCCTATCCCACCAGCTCTAAACACTTATCCTTAGCCCTAGTTTAAATCGAATCCCACTTGTCGGTCATCTACCATCATCACTGCTCATTCTATCGTTGTCTCTCTCCTAGGCTCCTGATTTTCCTAGTTCAAACTCTGTCTCTCTCACCATGTAACAGTGCAGAACTCACCGTGATCATGAAGCAGAACTCATTGTAACATTGCTATCCTCAATTTCTCTCAACAAATCTCCTCGTCATCTAGTCATTAGTTTTTTGATTGCTATGCCTCTTCCTTCTTTGCATTTTTAATTCAGAATAAGTGATTTCTACATTATTTGTTGTTATTAATTTGTCTATTGTTGCTTAATATTTTTTATTATTATTTTTTATTATTGTTAGACTTTTGAGTGGTTATATTTATATAATTATTATTGTATTGGTATCTTGTATTTGAGATTAACCTTGAATTTAGTTGAATATTTTTATAATTAATATCTTTTTATTTAAATTGTATTATTTTAATTATGATCATTTTAACCACCAGTTCAACCCTTGTTGAAACGCTAACCCATGATTTAGTGCCGCTCGACTTGAAGCCCAAAGGGGCTTTAGGTTTGGGCAACCGGTAGCTATCTTGCCCATGTACAACCTTAAATTGTTTGGATTTGGATCCTCCAGATGATTTAAATCCATTCACTTAATGAATCTCCCCATTACAATCATTGATTATATTATTCGGTGGGCAAGTAATATAGCTTTTTAAATTGAGTACAACTTTAAATGCTAAGGATGCATTTAAATTATTTAATACTAGGTACATTTGCAATCTTGTTGAGAATTATGTCAAAACATGCATAAGTTGAAATGTCTATTTTTTTTTATTAACATATTACTAAAACTTGTACTGATTCTTCCAATGTTAACAAGAACTATTAAACGAGCTCTTTCAACTTTGAAAATTATAAAAAACAAGGCTTTACTATAGAATGGAAGATAGATTTTTCACTCATTTAATAATAGTTTATTTTGAAATGAAAATTGTTGAAAAGTCTTCTGCAAGTATTATATTAAAGATTTTTATGTCATAAATGATAAGCAAAACTTGAAAGGTGAAAGGTTGTTTATTTTAGTGTTTGGTTATATATTTGTAAGATTGATTATGAATTTGTGAAATATTTACGTTTTCCACACACACACACACAATTTTTCTTCCTCGTCATATATGCTTTGTAATTCCTGCTTTCCTTAGCTTTTCATCAAATGAAGTTCAGTCTAGTGATTGATCAGTTAGGCTGTGCAGCGTTGAGAAGAGGATCGCTTAAGAATAGTCCAAACGGATTTTTTTTTTTTGGCCAAAAACCATATGGAACTTAACTAGTTAATTATATGGAATAAAAGTGTGTATTTGGATACATGTAAATTTAAATTTCGATTTGATTTTGTATCAAATCATTCACTCAAATATATAAAAGTCATTGAATACATAACATCTTTTTATTAGCTGAAATGCAACTATACATATTGTATTTGTGTGCTACTGTTGTTACTTACCTGCATGTTTTTCTTTGTTGCTCTTTACTTTCTTTTCTAATGTTGTTGGCCCAACTTGTTTTAGTTATCTTGGTAGCTTGAGCTTTTTTATGTACTTGTTTTATTTTCTTCTTAATGAAACTTTATTTTTTTATATAAAAAAATGCAATTATACATGGAAGTATAGAACAATTACAATGGAAATGAGAATCAAAGTGAACGGAGCTTCATCTATTCCCTAGTCATTATCATTATTAATGAAAGGGTTAAAAGGTAAATTTGTCTTGAAAGTTTTTCATCGGGTGTAACTAATATCTTAACTTTTGACTGGCATAAAATTATCTCAAAAGTTTAAAAATAATGCAATTTTGCAAAATAGTAACGTTTGATTAATATTGATTGTTAATTAGCTGATAATTCTATTTAGGGTTAAGGCCTAAAATACATTACATAGTTTAACAAACTCAGTGCAAGTAAGTCACAGCATGAACCAATCTTAGTTGGCAATATCACATGAAATATACACATAAATACTCAAAAGTAAAGGAGGCCTACTAATATAATCTTAATCACATGCCTTAGGTTGTTTTTCTTTGTCTTGTCCTCTTAAACTAGTTCTTATAATATTGAAGATAATGAGGTAAATATAACCACTCAGTAATTAAGATCTACTAACTCATACTAATACATGTCAATCAATTTAAATGCAAATGACAAAAATAATCAATTCCAAATCATATAACATGTTTAAAAGCATAATTCAAATTCTCATTTGTAATGCACATGCTCATGAGACAATGATTTAGTAATACATTTTCATATTAAAAAAAAGACTTAATACATGAATTGTTTCACTAAGGTCACAAAACATACAACTATGTGCCTTTTTTTATCACTATATGCATGATTACACTTCTCTTATATTCTCCTTATTATTCTAACATGAAATCATGGGTTACAACACATTGGGTCATCTATAAACTGAAACTACCCTAGCCAAAATACATGTGAGAGGTTAACCAATCAAGGTTTCTTAACACACTAGTGAGTCACATTTTTTTCCATTTCTCACACTATAAAGTGTCAACCTCTCTAGACTAGTTTTCTCATTGAACAAGTAGATAATTAGTTAGGTTCAAGTCCCTCATTGAATAAGTGAGATAGTCTCTCGTTGAACAAATGAGACAATATAAATAATAAATTCAGGCTAACCATCGAGCCCTGATGGAATCCTTACCACATGAATTTAATTTTTTACTCCTTTTCCTAAGTGAACTTCTGCCTCTCATAATCATGCAATGCATAGATATGGAATAACTCACAGCATGCAAGTGTTCACTACCCAAGTATATACCACATGATCATTGTACCCATCTCATACATGAAAATCACATAATACACATAATCATATCATTGAACTCCTCAACTACATATTTTGTTGAACTCTACATTATTGAACTTTATAAATTCTATTTCATTAAACCATTCACATATCAAGTCATTGAACTTCACTTAGCACATAATCATTAAACTCCCTACTAAATCATGTTATTAAACTCCAAAAACATCATATTATAGCACTCCATTACCAATGATTCATAGAATTTTGCATATAACAAGTCATTGAACTTTGCAAAAATCACTATAGTGGATCGTTAAGTAATTCACGCCACACTTACATTTTCATTCAATTTCACACATTTAAATTATTAAATATTAATCAATAAATCAATTAATATATAAAAATATAAAAATGAATTATCCCGATTACCTCTAACTTTTAAGAAGTTATAGATTCATTCTTCAAATACTCACTTCCAAAGTTTCCACGAAGCTTGAATGGGGCTAATATGATCACTCTACAATTAATCACAAGATACTTCATCAATAGTTCTTTTTGAATAATTTTTACTATTAACCCACACTTCACTTTTAAGATTTAATCTCTTTCCATACAAAGGTATCCATAGAAATTTTTAACTTACCTAATTCACATTAACTTTATTAAACTCGTCAGTGGAGTATACTTGTTGGAAGGCGATCAATGTTTCTTGAGGTAGAAACGAAGCTCACACAGTGACCTTTTTTTAGCTATGAGCTTTACAAGCTCAAGGGTGGGGATGACACGGCCAAAGGCCAACTGCGGAAACATGACTATGTGAAGATCGTCGCTCTTATCAGGGCATCAATAGTGTCCAATTTGTGACTAAGTTATACCTAATCGGCCAAAGAATTAGAGGGAGCATATGGATCACAAACATTTTGGAAAAGTCGAACACCGTCAGCAAAATTTAAAAACAAGGAGGAAAAGTCATACGATAATGATAAAAAGGAGTATTAATGTGAGTAATTAAATTTATAAAGAAAATCTTTGTATCCCGTAAAACTAACCCATTATCAATTAAACTTTACTTGATTTTAATATAGGATGACTCATAATAATGCACCTCATTTAAAAACAAGGTATTAAAAATTA